GCCAAATGGAGAAATAATGATCTTAATAAAGGTAAATACGTGAATTATAAAAGCCAGTATTATAACAATTTGTAACTATACTTTTTGTTTTCTATATGATTTAAGAAAAAAACAATTATGAGTATAAAAGCTAGTACTACTGTAACTTTAGTTTGTGACTCCAAGTCTTCCTTTCTACATAATTTTAAAAAATTATTAGCTTATATTTTGGGACCCACAATGTATAAAGACGTAATTTTGTGACATCAGTAACTGGAAGTGGGGGGACAGAGCTGTAAAAGAGCACAGTTTTTGTATGTCATTGAAGTTAAGCTCATATAACTTCAAATTAGAGTGTTATAACTTTAGGGTGTTAGATGTCATCCCCATGGTAACCACAAAGAAAAAACTATAGAATATATACAAAAGGAAATGAGAAAGGAATTTAAACATTTCTACAAGAAATCAACTACACACAAAGGAAGACAGTAATGCAGGAAATGAAGGACAAAAAAGCTATAAGGCATATAGAAAACAAATAGCAAAATGATGGAAGTAACTCCTTCCTTATCAGTAACTAATTAAATGTAAATAGATTAACTCTCCAACTGAAAGACAGAGATTGGCAGAATGGATAAAAAACCATGGTCCAACTATATGCTGTCTGTAAGAGACTCACTTTAAATTCAAAGAGACAAACAGGTTGAAATTGAAAGGATGGAAAAAGATATTCCATCCAAATATTAATGAAAACAGAGCAGGGATGGCTGTATTAATATCAGACAAAATAGAACTTAAATAAAAACTGGTTACAAGAGACAAAGGATGACATTATATTTTTAATACAGCAAGAAGATATAATATAAGCATTTACATACCTAATGACAGACCATTAAAATATATGAAGAAAAACTAACAGAAATGAAGGGAGAAATGGATAGTTCTACAGTAATAGTTGGGGACTTGAATACCTCACTCATGATAATGGATAGAACAACCAAACAGAGGGTAAGTAAGGAAATAAGAACTTAAACAATGATGAACCAACTAGAGCTAACAGACATGTACATAACACTCTACCCAGCAATAACATGCGCATGGGATATTCTTCTCAAGTGAACATGGGATGTTTTCCAAAATAGACTACATGTTATGCCACTGATGAAGTCTCAAGAGATTTTAAAAGACAGATATCATAGAAAGTATCTTCTCTGACCACAGCAAGTTGAAGTTAGAAATCAATAACAAAAGGAAAACTAGAAAATTTACAAAATTGTATAAATTAAACAACACACTTTTACACCAAAAGATCAAAGAAGAAATCAAAAGCAAATTTAGAAATTACTTAGAGATGAATGAAAACAAAACCACAACATACCTGCATATGGGATGTAGCGAAATCAGTGCTAAGGAGGAAATTTATAGCTATAAATGCTTATATTAAAAAACAAGAAAAATCTGAACTCACTTCACAACTTAAGGAACTAGAAAAAGAACAGACTAAACCCAAAGATAGCAGAGGAAGGAAATAATAAACATGAGAGCAGAGTTAAATGAAATTGAGAATATAAAAACAATAAAGAAAACCAATGAAACAAAAATTTGGTTCTTTGAAAAGATCAACAAAATTGACAAACCTTTAGCTAGCTAGTCTAAGGAAAAAAGAAAAGGCTCAAATTACAAAAATCAGAAATTTAAGTGAAAAATATTACTATCAGGGAATTTCCTGGCAGTCCAGTGTTTAGGGCTCCGCACTTTCACTGCCAAGGGCCTGGGTTCAATCCCTGGTCAGGGAACTAATAACACAAGCCTCACGGTGAGGCCAAAAAAAAGAGAAATTACTATCAATTTTACAGAAATAAAAAGGATTATCAGAGAGAACTATGAACAACTGTACACCAGCAGAATGGATAACCTAGATGAAACAGACAAATTCGTAGAAACATAAAACCTACCAAGACTAAATCATGGAGAAACAGAAAAACTGAATAGACCTGCAACTAGTAAGGAGACTGAATCAGTAATCAAAAATCTCCCAACAAAGAAAAGCCCTGGATGCAATGGCTCCACTGGTGAATTCCAGCAAACATTTAAAGAAAGAACTAGTCCAATCCTTCTGAAAGCTTTTCCAAAAAATTGAAGAGAAGGAAACACTTCCCAACTCACTTTATAAGGCCAGCATTACCCTGACACCAAAGCCAGACAAACACACTACAAGACTACCAGTCAGTATCCCTTATGAACACTGATGCAAAATTCCTCAATAAAATGCTAGCAAGCAGAATTCAGCAGTATATTTAAAGGATTATACACCATGACCAAGTGGAATTTGTTCCTGGAATGCAAGGATGGTTCAACATACGAAAATTAATCAATGTAATGTGCCGCATCAACAGAATGGGTGGGGGAAAACACATGATCACCTCGAATGATGCAGAAAAAGCATGTGACAATATATAACACCCTTTTATGATAAAAACACTCAGAAAAGCTAGAAATGGAACAAAACTACCTCCATAGAGCAAAAGTCATTAATAAAAAACCCACAGCAAGCATCATACTCAGTAGTAAAAGACTGAAAGCGTTTCCTCTAAGGCAAGGATGTTTGCTTTCACCACTTCTATTCAACAAGGTATGGAAGTTCTAGCCAGAGCAATTAGGTAAGATAGAGAAATAAAAGGCATCCAAATTGGAAAGGAAGGAATAAAATTATCCCTGTTTGCAGATGACATGATTTTATACGTACAAAACTCTAAAGATGCCACAAAAAAAACTGTTAGAACTTTCTGAACTCAGCAAAATAGCAGGATACAACATCAACACACAAAAATCAGTTTCATTTCTACACATGAACAATCTGAAATGGAAATTACAAAACAAAATTCCATTCACAATAGTATCAAAAAGAGTAAAATACTTAGGAATTAACTTAACCAAGGAGGTGAAAGACTTATATGATGAAAACTACAAAACATGCTGAAAGAAATTTAAAAAGACATAAATAAATGGAAACACGTCTCATGCTCATGCATTGGAAGGCAATATATTAAGATGTCACTACTAGTCAAAGTGACCTACAGATTCAATGCTATCCCTATCAAAATCCTAAAGACACTTTTTTTTTCAGCAATAAAAAAATCCATCCTAAAATTCACATGGAATCTTAAGGGACACCAAGTAGCCAAAACAATCTTGAAAAAGAAGAACAAAACGGCAGGACTCACACTTCCTGCTTTCAAAACTTACTACAAAACTACAGTAATAAAAAATAGTGTGGTATTGGCATTAAGACAGACATACAGACCAAGGGAATAAAATACTAAGCCCAGACATAAACCCTTGCATATACAGTCAAATGACTTTGATAAGGGTGCCAAGACCATTCAGTGGAGAAAGGACAGTCTTTTCAATAAATGGTGCTGGGAAAACTGGATGTCCACATGCAGAAAAATGAAGCTGGACCCTTACCTAACACCATATACAAAAATTAACTCAAAATTGATCAAGGACCTAAATGTAAGACCTAAAATAATAAAACTCTTAGAAGAAGAGAGGAAAAACGCCTCACAGCATTGGATTTGGCAATGACCTCTTGGATACACCACCAAAGGCACAGGTAATAAAAGAAAAAAATGTTAAATTGGATTTTATGAAAATTAAAAATTTTTGTGCATCAAAAGACAGTATCGGGCTTCCCTGGTGGCGCAGTGGTTGAGAGTCCGCCTCCCGATGCAGGGGACACGGGTTCGTGCCCCGGTCCGGGAAGATCCCACATGCCGCGGAGCGGCTGGGCCCGTGAGCCATGGCCGCTGAGCCTGCGCATCCGGAGCCTGTGCTCTGCAACGGGAGAGGCCGCAACAGTGAGAGGCCCGCGTACCGCAAAAAAACAAAAAAACAAACAAACAAAAAAAACGGGTAAAAATTTTGAGCAGATCCTTTACCAAAGAGAAACTCCTAATAGCCAACGATGAAGTAAAAGCTATTCAACCTCCTCAGTAATCAGGACAACAGAAACCAACATCATAACAAGATACCATTACGTCCTCACCAAAATGGCTCTACTAAGAGGCCAGTGGACCCGTGTGAGGGAGGATGCGCAAAGACAGAACCCCGTGTGCACTTCTGGCAGCTGTGACTTTGGAAAGCAATTCGGTGTTGTCTGATAAAGCTGCACCAGCAGCCCACCCTGCCTTGTACCCCAAGAAGCATGTGCCCACGGGCCCAGGAGATGTGCTCAGGGGTGCACCACAGTTTGTAATGCCTGCAAACTGGAAATGACCCTGATGCCATCAACAGTGGGATGGAGTCCTTCAACGGAGGACAAGGCACCAAAGGACATGGACTAGAAGCTGAGACACAGGGGCTGAGTGAGAGAGGTCAGACACAACCGCTAACTTACAGCTCCTTCAAAAGGAGAGACGACTATATTGTTTAGGTTTTGAAGTGGAAAACTGTAAAGGAAACCAACAACGTAACAACTATAAAAGTCAGGATGGGGGTTGCTTTTGGCAGCAGGAAGAGGGTTCTGATAGGGGAGGACAAGCAGGGCTTCTGGAAATTCTCTGCTTTGACCAAAGTGATGGTTATACCGGAGTTTCCTTTAAAATAACTTAAGTGGAACATTGAACGCATCTTTTTTATGCATCTTTATGCATCGCTCCGTATTTTTTACTTTTCACAGTTAGAAAACTTTGATTTTGCTTCTTTAAAGAATCCAAGAAACGTCACCAACTACAAGGGGCAATGTCCTTGCAAGAACCTAAGTTTGGAGAAGGCCAGTGGGCATCCATTAAACCATGCACACATCCACATGGAGAGCACCCAGATGTGACGCTTGTTTCAATCCTTTCAAAGCATGGCACTACCCTGCAGGAGTCAGAGATAGGAGGAACAGTGCCAACGTCAGTCTGGGACAAACAAGGAAGGGAAGAAAAGGAAAGTCACCCCAGAACTGCCAAGGGGACCAACTCATCAGACAGGAGAGAGCTAACACATGCAAACAGTCTGACAGAAGAATGTACCCCAAGAAGTGCTGAAGTCCTCTTCATCTCGTCCTTGTTCACCTGAATGCTGTGGCTTTCCATCACTGTGATTCAAAACCAAAGCAGATAAAAATCTGTACTGCAGCAACAAATCATTTCTTAGAAAGACTGCAGTGCCAGGAGCAAGCCTCACCCCTCGATGAAGACCAAGATGACAGTGCGAGCTCGGCAGCGTCTATGAGGGTCAGTACTGGAGCCCAGCAATGGTGGCAGTGGGCATGGGGACACTCTGGATGGAGAGTCACTCCTGGCCGCTCAGCTGCCATGCTGGGCGAGGCTCTGCTCTCCCAGGTGCCCAGCAGGACAGGGCGGGTCAGGGGCTAAGAGCAAAGGCAGAGCAGAGCCTGCAACAGTGCTTGCAGGGGGTTCTCACGAAGCAGAAGGGTCCATCACACCAGGACCAGGACAAGTGCTGACCTGGAAAACATCCAGACAGGCCTCTTCCCCCCACCACTGCTCTCAGGGCTCTGGGAGTCCGTCAGGACACCTGCTGAA